GTTTTTGCTAATTGATAGTTTGAGGGCATTCAAGGTTACTTTGACTGCATGCTGAGACAGCTGAGTAAAAGTTTCTGACTTGTGTCTGGCAGTAATTTGCAATAACAATAAATTAACAGTATGACAAACAACATATTTAGTTTCAGTCAGCGATTTGTAAATTCCTACTTCAGAGTTTACAACAACACTTGAGCAAAGGAAGATTGTATTTGTCAAGCACTAGTGTCCCAGATAAAATTTCATTATTTGAAAACCATAAATACTGCCGTTGTCCCTGTCACAACAAACATTTTTCAGGATCAAGCAAGTTGAGAAATTCGGGAGTACCGGGTATTGTTGGGATGATCAGTTCAGTTGTGTACAAAGCATCAAATTGATCAAATTTACATAACAATATGACAAGTCAATCATCCATATTGTTATGCTAAGCTGACTCTATTGTTCATCAACATTAAAGAGTTAACGCCCCTATTTTATAATGTGGTAGGGAGAATTGTGCCATAGAATGCATTTCACACAAATTGATATTGATTAGGTATTTGTCTAGTGTCGGTCTCACTAAAACATGCATTAACAAGACACTATATTTTATTAAGCGGAAGTGTGAATTTAGAAGGCCTCTTATGCAGTTACCCTGGTACAATCAAGTTATAATTTTGCTGTTTTTGCCAACTAATAAAATCCGCTTAATTGAACACATGTGAAATTATAAATTTCATTGTTTTTGTCACTGGCAAGTCTGTGAATTTATGAACCCCAGTAAATATGCTCAAAATACCAGATTATAGAAATTCAAGTTGCATTTTCACTTTGTGTGTATCCATTATCATCCCTTCCAATGGATGTTAAGTGATAAACAACTAGATCTGCAGAAAGAATCTCAATGATCTCTGTAATCCTCATTAGAACTTGCAATGTTTTGCACTGTTCATGATTCGTTGGAGGTGTTTTGCATAGTGGAAAAGTTGAAGTGCTGCTTTAAATATATGTCATGCATATGTATATATGCATTCTTGATATGTTTTTTTTTCATTGAAAATTTTTCAATGAAATTTACAATTCTAAAAGTAAATTGACTCTGTATTTAATCTGCAATATGGCATGGGTCAAATCAAAGGTTGTACAATTGTATATGTAATTGTAACTTCAAATAAATGATAAATAGATGAGGTTATAGTATAAATACCTAAATGCAGAAGACTATCTCTATTGTAAAAAGCTATATGCAGGATTAGGGAACATACGCTGCAGTACAATTCAAAATGGCTGCCAATTTACTGCTATTAAATAGTCCACCAAAACTAAGCATTTCTGCCATTCTGGAACACAATTTTGTTCATTAACGGACACATTTTTTATTAAAACTCAGAACAACTGTATTTTAATTCCGAGAATGCTGTCCCTGAAGCATATCTCAAACATGGCTTTTGATTAGTTTAGCAAAAAAACTTATCTATTTTTCACAGTATTAACACTGAGTGACCCTTTTGAGGATTTGAGAATTGTTTGCAATATCTCTTGAATAAGGTCTTGTGTAATTTTAAGCATGATAAGGATCTTACCGCCTTACTGACAAAGCAGTGTCATTTTTGAAAAAAAAAATCTCTACTGTATTACTCACTAAAATTCATGACATAATGGTGACTTGATGACCAGTTTGACTCAAAGTTCTTTTCAACCTTGAGCGCCCCTGTTAGCATCATCCATGTGCTAATTATGTATTAATTGTATGGTAATTACTCGCTGTACAGATGCTAATTAGTCATGGTTGTATGTAAATTTACTAGCCATTTATATGTTTATTTGTCACCATTCTGGGTGATTGCATTTTGAAACTCTTCTGTAAAAGAATAACACTTTCATTTGGTCGAAGTTCATGACAAAATTATAGTAATGGGAATCTTGTGGTTAGAGTGTGTGTCTGTGTGTATGTACATTGTATGTATGTGTGCGTGTCTGTTCCACTAATATCTCAAGAACCATTCATGAGATTTCAAGCATCTATGCTCTGGGATAATATGCAAACTTGATTAGTTTTTGGTTTAAATCTGTGCATGTTATTGACCTAATTTGCATAATAGTTAGCCAATTTTAATGAAACCTGGTACATAGATGCTTTTTGGTTGAAATCATGCATATTAATGAACTAATTTGCATATAAATTAGCCATATTAAATTTTCCACCAATATCTCAACCACTCATCAGATTCAATAAAACTTGGTACATAGGTTAAATTTTGTGCTTACTAATTACCTAATTTGCATAAATTAACAAATTTATAGGTGCTCCACAGATAACTTGGGGTACCACCCACTGATCAAATTTTAATAAAACCAGTGAACACAGTATTCCTTAATATTTGTACTTCATGCCTCCAATATCTTCACACAGGAGTTCTTTCTGGGCTTTCTTTGATTGTTATTTCTTGATTAAATGCTGTATTTGCTATTTTTGAAGTCTATAGTCAAAATAAAACATATTTCAATAATCTTGCATGCAATATATAAAATTGTTGCTTTATGTGTATTGGAAATGTGCTTCTTATATAGTAAATATGGTATTTCTTATTTGTACTTCATGCCATGGAAGTTCTTTCTAAGGTTTATTTGATTTCAACTTGTAGAAGGTCCTATCTCCATCATTCATTCGTTAATTAGTATGCATTCATATGCAAATTTGGATTTCAATTACTTGTCATTTATATGCTAATTAGTCACATTTTGAGCTTCACCAGTAACATTTTTACTCGTTTAATATCTATTTCCGGGGTATAATTGACTCCTGTGTGCAAAGCACAGAATGATAGTCTTTGCAGTTTAATAATTTGTCTGCATAAGTGTGAGTGTGTGTGTGTGTCTGTCTGTTCCACTGATATCTCAAAAACGTTATTTTGATGCAACTTGATGTATAGATGCTCTGGGCTAATGTGCAGATTTAAATAGGTTTTGGGTTAAATCCATGCATATTAATTAACGAATTTGCTTGATACATGAATTAGCTAATTTTAGCTGTTCTATGACTGTTCCACAGATATCTAAAGAACTACTCATTGGATTTTAATGAAACTTGGTACATAGATGCTTTGGGAAAATGTGCACACAACAACACAATGCAAAAAATTAACACAACAACAAAACTTGAAAGAAGATACAGTTGTTCAAAATTAATGTACACGTGTGACATCAGCCTAATGTGTTTTTGTTTTAACCTTCCAAGATTGACATTCTGTTAGTTTTAACAAACAACCCAAATTGGAATAAGTCGTACATCAAGATAATGGAAGGGAAGACAATGATATAAATAAACAGAAGGAAGGATTACCATTGAAAATTTAGTTGTGTGTAGGATTTGTTGAGTTGAACAATATCTTAATAACAATTTACAAGCATTCCATTGGAAAAGAAAACAATTAAATTCTTGTTTCCACTTTGGCCGTAACAAACTGACGACATGCTTTGAACAAAAAATGGCTGCCAGGTCAGAGGTCAATGTCTCAAAATACGCATTTTAGACGTGACTGCGAAAATAAAGTGTATATATTTTTTCACTTTTATCAAATCAGATTAATTTTACCGTACTCGACCGCGTTAGCGCCCAGGGGCCTCAACTCAGAAAATCACGATTTTGTAGGGGTGGGCGCTTACCCGAGCACCCCCCTCGAAAAAGAGTGCAAGTGAAAATTTTGATTCATCAAGTGACAGATTACGTCTTTGAGGGAAAAGCAAATTACTAAATTAGTTGCGTCATTGATTTTCACAATGAAGAAACAGAAATGATCACAAAAAATACGCACATTTTATTACAATATTAATTACGTACCATCATAATTTACGGAATTAAAAACATTTGAGTTGGAACACAGTCAAAGTCAAAATTGTCATATTATTTCCACTGACGAAGTTGTTGGATTGTACGCAAACTCTCGATGAAAATCACTTTCCGCCATGATGCAATCGCAGATTTACGCACGGTTACCGTGTTCTACGCATTCACAACATGTTCACAGCGATCGATATCCACGCTGTATCATATAAAAATGATTACCAAGATTCGTTACGCAAGACCAAGTTTTAAATTAGTTGCATTTTGAATGGGTGGGCGCTTTGCCGAATGTGACCCCAAATATAAAAATTGCGCAAAACTGGGGGGTGGGCGCTTGCCTGGGCATGGGCGCTAACGCGGTCAAGTACGGTATATTGAAATATTTAAAATAAAAAGTTAAAATAATTAAAGTAGTAGTAAATTAATGTAGTTAAATCGTAGCTAGTAGAATAGAAAAATGAATATTAATTAGTGACCGGCACTCAAATCAGGCTGGGCAGAACCCTGCTATGCATGTAAATTACCTAATTTGCATAATGAATTAATCACATTTCAGTAAAACTTGGTACATATGTGCTCTGAAATAATACACAGACCTTTTTAGTTTATTGTTGAAAACTATGCACAATAGTTGCTTAATTTGCACAATAATTACCCACTTATTCAAAAAACAATTATTGCATTTCAATAAGACTTGGTATATAAGTCCCTGGGAACAATGCATTTGTTTTGGATTGAAATTCAAGCATACTAATTGCATAATCATCGCATTGAATTGAAATTTGGTTCATAGATGCTTTGGGGTAATCCACAGATGTGATTAATTTAATAATGAAAATCATCCATATTGATTATTTAATTATTGTTGGCCAATTTATGGTATCCCAAAAAATATGATTCAAATTGAACTTGTGGTAAAGGTGCTCTGGAATAAATTAGACTGAAAACCACAGATTTAAAATCAAATGTATTTTCTGTGAGTATTATAAACTTTGATATTGTGAATCACATTGTACATCTCAAATAGCAGACAAATATTAGTTGCCAAGCTTCTTGTTTGGAAGGCTAATTAAATTTTAATGTCTCCAAAACTTTCTAAGCTTTCTTCAATTTTTTGAGTTGCATATAAACTTTCGGTCTCTAATGTAATATTTTTATTGTTATTTTTAGACATACAATGGCAGAAGTGGCATTAAAGTGTGAGCAGTGTGATTTTGTTGGTGATACATACACCAGATTAACAGAGCATGTGACCACTGAACATGCTGGAGAATCATCGGTCACTGTGCATGCAGTCATTTCATCGGAGAATTCAGATGGTGAAGAAAACAAAGATAGATATGCTAAACCAGAATCGCCAGTTGCTGTAGAGGTTGAAGAGAAGATTGATGAAAATGTTCATGTTGTGAAAGAAAATAGTGACAAAGAAGAAGAGAAATCTCCAGAGAATACAGATAATCAAAAGGAAGAGAAACAGACAGATGGTGATGACTCGTCTGATTTGAAAAAAGATATTAGTTTAGTGTGCTTTATTTGTCAGCAGAAGTTCTCCAAGAAAGATAGATTGGCCTCGCATATCAGTTATGTCCATGGCGGTGTGAAACTGTACGAGTGTACCATCTGTACTGAGAGATTCACTTGGAGAGATAGCTACAGCAGACACTTGCGTAAGGCTCATCAGGTGAACACCTTTGATTGCCAGATGTGTTTGTTTACAAGTGTAGACAGAGCTGGTTTGACAGAGCACATGAACACACACATTGAAGTTGAGTACAAGTGTCAGATGTGTGATGAGGTATTTTCCACTGTGCAAAGCTTGGAGGACCACAAGAAAATCCATGAAGCTCCTCAGAGTCCTCTGAAAACCATTGAGGATATTAAAATATCAACCTTGCGAACCCGACCAAAGTGTAATGCTTGCAACCTCACGTTTAAGGTACGAAAGTACTACACCCTTCACAATAGGCTTGTTCATGGTATTTACATGAAAGGGCCGAAGCATGAAGCCTTATTAGCAGATAGTTCGAGCAGCGACAACAATGGTGATGATCTTAAGACTACCTTGTACAGCTGCCACCTGTGTCACAAAACTTACACCAGTTGGAAATCATTTGGATTTCATAAGAGAAAAGTTCACAATATATTTGTATTGCCACGTCAAGGAGTAAGGCCGTCTCCTACTGTTCCAAGAGCTTCACAACCCTACAAATGCTTGGAATGCTCAGCTAGTTTTGCAAGTGCTAGTAACCGAAGCAGGCATATGAAGATGGCCCATCATAGAATCAAGCAAAAGAATAATAAAATCAAAGTAGAACAAGCAGATGCCTCAGCTGGAGATAGGTTTGAATGCAATATATGTAATCGCAGCTTTGGTCGCAGATGTGATCTTTCACACCATCAAACCAAAAGCCATCCAAATGAAGTGGGTAAACCGCATCGATGCAAAACCTGCGGGAAGAGGTTCGTGAAAGAGTGTCATTTACAATGTCATGAAAAATGGCACTTAAAATCTAAAAATAAACCTTGCAAGTGCAAAGTATGCCACAAAGGTTTCTACAAAAGATCAGACCTCATCAGACACAGTCAGATGCATAAAAAAGAAACTCACTTTTACTGCAATATCTGCCCACAAAACTTTTCTTCTCTGAGTGCTCTGGTGCTGCATAAGCAGCAGTCGCATGCCACAGAAAAACGTTCTCCGGCCAACCTGTGCACGGTATGTGGAGAAAAATTCACTTCCAAAGTTGCTTTGGCTTGTCATGTGAAATCCCATCCCAATGTTCATATATGTGATATTTGCTCCTTTGCTGCTACGGAAACCAAAAAATTTAGGTCTCACTATGAAAAACATATTGATCCCGTAACAAAAGCTTATAAGTGTTATTATCGTGGATGCCACCACTCGTGTAAATCAAAGGATGGCTTACAAAGTCATATCAGTAACCACTACTCCGGGGAGCATTTCAAATGTAAAATCTGTGGCTTGAAAACAAATTATAAACCCAACCTTGCAAGACATATGGAAACAGTGCATCAAATCAAAGATTCAACTCCAAAACGCATATATAAACTTAGTAAGAAAACCCAACAAGATCAGTCGCCACCGAACAAACGGCCATCCATAAAAAGTCTTATAGTTCGTTTGAAGACTGAGGAGAGTGGACGGGAAAGAGCTCCCACAAATGATGAAGATAGCGAGATAGAAGACGCAGTTACTATACCAACAAGAAAATGTAAAGTATGTTACAAAGAATTTAAAAGCTCCTCTGATTTGAGACGCCATGAATGGACACATAGTGATGATAAACCATACGTTTGTGTACACTGTGGTCGTGGATTCACAAGACATGACAAATTGAAAACGCATCAGTGTAAACCTGTTAAGAACGTTGGAATGAGATGCTCTACTTGTGGGGACTGTTTTGAGTCGCGCTTTGAGCTTTCTTTGCATCAGGTGACCCATCGACAGGATGTCAGAGTACAGTGCTCTCTCTGTGACGAAACATTCCGATCACGCGTGGACTTAAATTCGCATCAGTATACAGTTCATCAAAATGAGAGGTCTGCGGAAGCACAAAAGAGAGCTGAACCAACTCCATACAAGTTTACTTGCAGCAAGTGTGGTAAAATGTTTAAACTCTGGAAGAATATGAAAATACACATCAACAAATCTGGACCTTGTCTCGGTGCTGCTCCAATCTCCAACACTCTTGAAGCGCAGAATAATGTTTCTCCTCGAAGTCTTGGCTTGTTCAAGACTCCAACCTCCACGGCCATTAAGAAGGAGATTGATGGTAGTTATGCTGGATATGGTGACTCTACACCATTGGATTTATCAGCGCATGATGCTAGCACCAGTAAAGGTCACACTGACATGTCCGGATTGATTATATCAAATGTGTGTTCGCTAAATAGCAATGATGCGCCATCTGGTAGCGGTAGCGGTGGTGGTAGTCGTGCCCAGTCTCGACTGCAGATGCTTTTAACAGGTCATAAAAAACCAGTGGAGACTGTGAAAATATGTGACGGAGATGAAGGATACAGTGACAAATCGAATGGGGACTCATTGCGCTCCTCGTCCATTAGTGAGGCTTCTAGTCCAAGTCCAACTCCAACTCCTCGACAAAACCGATTCAAGTGTAAACATTGTGATATTACATTTCCTGATGCCATGTTATTCACTATTCACATGGGTATTCACGGTTCCGATCATGCATTCCAGTGTAATACTTGTGGCGAGAATTGCCGTGATCGAAACTCGTTTATGTTGCACTTTGTGGGACAGCACAGTTAATTTTTATGTACAATTGTAAAGATGTTTTTAGTTGTGCATAGCTTTGAGTTATTGCAGTGAAACATGCTAGAGTACTGCCGTGGACTTTACACAGGGTAAATTTTGTCCTTTTTCGTTTTCCATATGCTAATTGCACTCCTTCATATGATGAAAAATATTCATAATAAGGTACATATATGAAGATTGGCTACTACTGTAGGTTTTGTTCAAATGATCTTTGCTTTGTGGTCAAACACCGTGGGTCATCAACTTTTGTCTTCTTGCACATATTAGTAAAGTCTTTAGTTAGCGTCAAATTCTTTTTTTGGTCCTAGATAGATATTGAAAAATAAATATTAATTTTTGTATAATATAAAAATGAACAAGCCAATTATGATATAGGCACATTTATTTCTCGGAAATGGGTAAACACAGTACCCTTCTGCATGTCTAGAGCACTGCCAGTGTACAGTAAACACATTCATTTTTCACAGTTTTTTATTTTTGCCGAAAAAAGCAAAATCAGCCAAATTAAATGTGAACATGAAAAATACAACTCATTGTTTCTCTGTTCATTACCTTAAAACCTAGTAAAAGTGCACAAAGCGAAATGGTGATTTACCGGTAAATGCCAGTAAAAATAAGTGGTGCTACAGTACTTTTTCCAGGAATCACAGCAGTCACATTTATGCTTTAGTGAATCATATTGTAATTCCACATGTTCATATACAGGCAGGCAGAAGCTCTTTGATGTGGTTTATAGTGTGGTTTATAATTTAACACATGACAAACCTTCTTGTAATAGTGAAATTATGGTCAAACAGCTGGTCTCGCTATGAAACTCCTGTTTTGCCATGGACACATGCATCTAATTTACATTAACCCCAAACAATTCTAGGAATGCTTTGTCATTTGTTAATTATTAATTCAATTTGACTGACCAAGTTGCAAAGGACAACCTATTTATGGGGTACCCACATAGTTAAAGTATACAGGTATCAGTTGTTTTGACCCCTGTTCTCACAATCAAATCACTTTTGAACACCAGCCATGACTATGAAAATTATTTTTAGATTTTTGTTGAAATTCTGCACTTCATGGTACTACAAATTTATATACTTATAATTCTGTGATTAGAATATTGACGTCTCTGAAACCTTTTTATGGCCAAACTATTTTGGAGCCTATCAAATTCCTAGAGAGTTGTATTGATTGGTTTTTCAAAAGTATGTTTTGCATTGTGTCAGCGGATTATCTGAGGCATTAAAATTGCTCTCAGTTTTTTGGGAAATTTAATTTGCACCATCCGTGCTCAACCTTCATAACCTGGCAGAGCTAATATGGATATTTTTTTGTAGCATCTATTCAAAGATACTACCTGGTGCTGGAATTTAAATTTTTTATCTAAGAATTGTTTACTGTGGTTTTAAATTTTTGGCTTACTCTTCGCAACACGTCAATCTATTCAGCAATTTGGGGAAGAGAAGGAACCAAAAAAGTATTTGGGAAAAACACATGAAGTATATCCGCGGATGGCTTGGTGAACATCTACCAATCTATATTTGTTAGTACCAGTATAAACCACATCGAATTATTGGTGATCACAGGATTTGTTCTAAACCCTGTTATGGTTTTGATCTTTATAATATAAACAAGCTTTGTAATATGCAAATATTAAAGAGCGACAGTCGTCGTGCCGCGTCCTGTTCGATATGGGACTCATAGCGATGTATACAACGCGTGTAAAATACATTGTTTATTTACATGAAATTCGAACACGCGCTGAGCGACGACCGACCACCGCGCTTTAAGTAGCAATGATTATCCTGTCTAGTCAGGGATGTGTGGTCTACAAATTGTGTTAAAATTGAAAGCTAAAATTTTTTTTTATTTTCATGTTCAAGTCAACTTAAATTACTTTACAAAATTATTTTGGTGGATGTGTAAATAAGTAAAAATATCTGTACAGGTATTTTGAAATAATTAAATGGCCCACTGCAATTGTTATAGTTTTAATTTTCTGTCTGGTGTTTATTCTCTAAACGAATATTTTGTAGGTGCACACGATTATGCATTTGCATTCTATGTTGTCTCGCTCATGCCAATTCTGTGTATCAAGCAGATTGGGCGTCGCATAACATGTCATTTTTTCTTCAACATCTGTAGATGGTCTTTGTAGGAAACCTGGTAACTTGAAAGAATTTACAATTGAAACAATCTTGAAGCAAAGACACTGGGAAATAGAAAGACATTGCTTGAACCCAGGAAAGGAGAATTTATGTTTATGGCTTTATGTTTGTTCTCAAACTGTTTTAGCCTCTTGTGAATTTTACATTAAAATTATAGATTTTATATTTTTAAATTTTTATGTGTAGCAAAAGTTGTCAATGGTTTCATTAAAACCGTAGTATAATTTCAAATTTCCACATTTTCTTCAAACCTTTTCCAGTTTATATTATTTTAATTTTTGAACTCTTGTATATGTACATTTTGAGAAGAGGCCATGTTTCGAGGGAGATGTGTCGAAGAAAGAGTTAAGCAATCCTGTTTTTTTTTTCACAGAATTACTTTTGGTTGTTTACTTTTTTCTTTTGCACATGTACAACTGATGGATAATCTTTAAATTTTATTTAAGCGTTGGAGCAGCTTTTCCTAACAGAATGCAACTTAGTTTTGATACCAATTGACACATTCACAAAGTTTTACTAGTATTCAATGTCTAGAATCATGTTGTAAATATCGTGAAATACTTCAAATTGATTGAACTTAATTTTTTCTGAGAACATCCATACTGTTTCAAATAATGTTTGAAGAATAAGGGGTCGACCATTTGAAATTATGGGGTGTGGGGTATGGAAGATTTGTTGAAAAAAAACTGCAAGCTAGACACAGAGAAAAAAACAAAACAAATTTGCATACAAGGTGTTCAGAACAGTTGTCAAAATTCGAAAAAAAAAAATATACAGACGCAAACAAAAAATTACACTCGTCACTCTTCTAACCACACCCAGAATTTCAAATTTTTGACCCCCAAGATATAATTTTTCATTGTTCAAATAGTTTTTTTCTTTATGATAGAAAGTTGGGATAAGATATGTGCATTTGTCAAAAATTACTGTCCAGCAAAAGTGAAGTAAATCATTTTTTTTGTTTAATTCTAGTTTTCATGAGGGTTCTGATGGTATGAAGTAATTAATTGCAACTTACAGTGTTTTTAATGCAATTAGCAAGACTTCTCTGTATCTTGTAAAAATTTCCAACTTTTCCTCAGCTGCTGACTAGCTTATTATAATGCAATACAGCTTCTGATAGTTAAATCAGTTATAAGGTGTCATTGCGCAATATCAAATGTACTTGTGTTCATCGTTTAAACGTATGGGAGTTTGAGGGCAGGTGTATTAACTCTGGAATTTAATTAATCCTGAATTGCGTTAACGTGTAGTAAAACTGTTATTTCTGTGTTACAACAGATTCTCTTTTCTTCTAATAGAGCATGTTTACACGAACAAAATTTCAACTTTGCCTTTGTAAACAAAACTTTAAATTTCAACTTTCCACCATAGCACCATAAAACTCGAACTGGAATAATTTTGGACTAAACTCTGCAATCCTCACTGGTTACTAATCTGCAAGTTGCTGAAAAGATTACTGTTGATGCTTGTTAAATAGACCAGTTTAAAGACACTTGGTCCTAATCATGATTTCAGTTGTATATAATGTGTATATAAGGCTGTATTTCTTTACTCCACTGCCATATAAAGTATTTCTACTTTACTTTCTGTTGTATACTGGTTATGAAAACAAATAAATTACTAAGTTTAATGTTTGTATGCTATTGTATGATATTTCTCTATGTCAAATAAGTAGCTCCCTTTCGCTACATGCTTTAAAATTTTAGTCAATGCAAAGCTACTGAGAAGATTGTACCTGATTGGCTACAGTCAGACCAATGGGAGCAGCTTGTTTGTTGATCAATTTCAGTGTGTAGATTATGTTCAGTTATATTTTATTTTTTATTAGACGCATAAAATCCTTAGGAAAGGATAAAAAGGGTCTTACAGAAAGAAATTTAAAAACTATAATCTAAAAAGAGAAAAAAAAACTATTCTAAAAATATAAAACAAATCAAAAAGAAATATGAATAAACAGTAAAGACAGTTTGCAACCAATGGTGAATATAGAATGAACACAAAATGTAACCTAATACACTGATAGTTGATGCTGTTTTGTTCCATAGCTGTTTTTAAGAAGACAGCCAAGGTTGGTGCTAGAGTATGGTTTCCCATAATCAATATGAATTTATTCTGACTGTTTTCTTTATCAAAATTTTATATGTGGACATTGCAGCTGTTTCTATTTGTTTCATGGAATAGTACATGCCATACTAATCAGGGCATTATCTCTACCTTGCTCGCTTTAAGCTCCTTGGTGACAAAGGAACTCTTAGATGAGGTGGATTTTGTCCTAAAATCATTTGTATGAATTTGCCACTTGCCATGTTGGATGAATCTGAAGTCATCTTATTTACACCAAGATTATTTATAACAAGAACGTTTGAGGCACATGCCACTTCAGCATCACCCTTGTTCTTGCAGAGCTGAACTCTCCCTTGATATTGGGCTATAGGAATTGATGTCAATAGGCATAGCTAAATGAAATGTCTTTATAATTGGAAAACTTAGGGTCCCTATCTGGCATGCAAAGGGTTAAAACCCACACACCCTCAGTATTTTGTTTTGGCCAGACTCTTGGTTTGGTAACTTTATAGAAAGAATGTATGGGTAAACACTCTGTCTGAAAGATGTGTAAAAGCGTATACACATTCGTTAGTTCTGCTGTCATCAGAGATTTGCTCTGTCAGAAATCTACCAGTTAATGCATTGGTTTGACAATATTGATCCACTCTGCATGACCTTGTATGTGTGCATACTTGTGTTAGCGCTGCTGATTCTACTTCTTTCACGGTGGTCATAGATCGGGTTAAGGTACCTAGGTGCCGCTCAGGAAACCACCATAGCTGG